AAAAAAAAAAAAAAAAGCCTAGCAAATGACTTCAAAACGTTGCAGGCTTCATTACAGCTTGGTCTCCAAAAACCTGCCTAAAAAAAGCAACATGTTCCTCACAGTGTTCTCCTGTAAAGTAAAATAGATACTTAATCACGAGGTGAGAATACAGCTTGTAGGTTGTGCACTGGGTCTTAACTTATTTTTTTACTAAAACACCCTGTTTTCCTAAGTTTTAGGATTGCTTTTTATGTTGTAAACTGGCAGCCCATCACCACATGCTCAGAAGGACCAGCATGAAGCTCCTTGGGGAGGTGCTGTCACTGTGGCCACCAAGTGCCACCTTGCACTGTACAGTGAGCTAGAAAAAGCTGCTAGACCTAAAATAGAGTGCAACTTAAGAAACCTGACTAAAGATTTCCACGTAAAGAAAACGCTTACATTTTAACACTATTTGGAGATCAAAGTACTTAGCCACTATTTCTTACCCAAAACTGAAGCATAACTTTAGTAAGTCCTAGGCATGACAGGATCTAGCCACTTGAATAGAACCTGTAGTCATGATATATTTCATTCCTAAAGAGTAGCCTCAAGATCTGCTATTAGATCCAAGCTGGGTCTAGACTCCCCCCAAAACCCAGCTGGTGCAGAGTTCCGAACATCCATCTGAGCCTGCCAAACCTGCTCAACCACAGAGCGTGGTTAAGGGCCAGGTGGGCTGCAGGGCTTCCATGGAGAAGGCAAACACAGGAGTCCTCCCGGGAGGCTGCTCACCTGACATGGGTTCCTGCTACTCTTCTGTCTCTGAACTACAGCTGCACTCACCTGGTGTGAAGTTAGGGTTCCCGCGCAAACGCTGGTTTCGCTGTTCAAAAAACCGAAATATAGTATAAAAAAGCATGTTGTCTTCAGTCTGCTTTGCAGCATCTAAAAATTTCCGTGCAGAAATGTTGTCATGGCCACCAATGCCCCGGATAAACCTCAGCGCGGCTAACACCTGGTGTTTGGACAGAAGGACTTCAACTATCTCATCGTTGGCAGTTGAGAGCCGCTGCAAACAAGGGGAGAGATGTGGAGGTCAACAACAGGGCCAGATGCCTGTGCTGCAGGAGGGGCAGCCCAGCCTTACCTTCAGCATGTCCAGAGACAGCTGATGGGCAGGGGGATAGAAACTTTCCAGGGACAGCAGCAGGCAAGCCTGAAAGACAGTTTGAGTGGCCTCAGCTGGAAGGGTGACACTGAAAAGTCTCCATCACAACAGAGTAAGGACAGTGACACCACCCACCAGAGGCTTGGAGTCGCTGAGCACGTGGTACTGCAGGAACTGGTGCAGCATGTAGAAGAGGTTGTGATGGACGAGCGTCTTGATCACCAGCTCATGTAAGTAGTGCTGGGGGAAGGGGGAGAAAAGACACTTCCAAATCACCCAGCTGCCGCCGACGGGATAGCCTGCCTCCCAGCGACAGCTATGTCCCGACACAAAGTGGCTTCAACCTGTCTTCACCTTCCACTTCTCATTCTGACTAAAAATGATGTGGGCATATCAGAAGTCACTCAAAATTCTGTCCCTTCTAGCCCCTGCTAGCACATGAGTCTTCTCAGTGAAGACACGGTGCTTTCCTACAGCTAACTCGGGGTGACGCATGCCGCCTACGAGCTACCTGTACTACGATCTGAAACTGGTTCAGAGAGCGAATGTACTCCATCAGTACGGCGATCACAAATTTATGCGGCGTCTCCTACGGAAGAAAGCATGGTGCTGTAAAGGGCAGCGCTGCTCCCTGGAACACATTCATTCCCAACCACCCTGCTCATTCCCGTAAGAAAACGGTCCACTTGCTCTGTTTCACTGGCTTTGCACACAAGTCTGAGCATCAGAAGCCAGGCTCCAGCGCACACCCCACTAGACAGCTGCAGCCGGCCCGGCTCAGCTCCCCGGGCGACCTTGGGCAGGAGACCCAAACGCTGCGGCACCTTATTCTCTGCGAAGGGTGACAGCACGTGGGTGTATACTTCAGACTGGTCCACCACGGCTTGGGTCCGCACAGGCCGCTTGAGAGGCAGGTTGCTGCGGCTCTGCCCCGATTCCACGGCCTGAAATGACAAGTCCCGAGCTTATGGCCACAGCACCGACCAGACCAGGGTGCTAATGACCGTCAGGCCGAAAAGCCTGGCTTCCCAGCCATGCACCTCAGACCCCACCGAAGGCTTGCCTCACGCTGCTTACATGACCACACTTCCCCGTGCTGGCTGCGAAGTTAGGTCAGAGTTTCTCTTCAAATACATATTTTTTTAACCTCTGAAAATTTCTAAACCCCCTAATTTTCTTAGTCCTGGACTATGCACTTCGGTGTCTAATAAAAATCAAGTGATTGGGTGCACTTGGGTGTTTCATGAAATTGACAATAAATGAACAGCTTTTGCTACAAGTCTGAGCATTCTGTTTTCTGCAGTGCTAGGGACAGAACCCAGGGTCCTGGGCCTGCAAAGCAGGCACCCACCTCCTCCCCGCCCTCCCCGGCACAACAGGGTTGCTACACATACCCCTGCACTCCCCAGATGCACCCCTATTCTGCCTCATGTTTCAAAGCAGTGCCCACAGCTGTGGAGAACAGCCCAATCCCCGTGTCGCTGTGTGTGGGTCCTTGAAGCCTGGCAGCCATAGGCAGGGAAGCCCAGAAACTGGTTTATGGGGTCAGAGCCCCTGGTTCCCACTGCTCAGGACGCCAAGAGCAGGACCGAGAATGCAGTCTGGCAGGGCTTAGCCGGCGCAGAGGACAGGGACACAGGATCCAGGCGGCACAGCCTACCTCTGCAGCCCACTTTGGCTTTGAGCACTACAGTCCTGAGTGTACTGCTTCAAACCACTTCTGCTGTTACCCAGGGTTTAGTCTGAAGTGAGGCCTTTGATCCCATTTGGTCTGATCTTTTCTTCCTCACTGTAGAAAATACACTACTGGTGCCATCGCACCTGGAAGCCAGCCACAGACATTCTTTCCTGCCCCTCACTACGAACACCTGAAGAGCACAGTGCTGCTACCTGACCGTAACAGGACCCTGGGAGTAGTACAACGTAAAGGGAAAGCAGGAAGGTGGGACAAGTACTGGAAGTCATCTCTACGTCGCTAAGTCCCAGCTCTGCGGACTCAGCACATACTGCAGCGCCCAGACCGGCTCCCTCATCTAGAGGCAGAGTATGGCTGGGCCTCAACAAGGAGAGACACAGACCTAACGACCAAAGCACATATGGCAAAGGCACTGAGATGTGGCCCTGGGCTAATGGGATGCAGGGACTGCGAGTGTCCTGAGTGTCCTACGGCCACCCTGCCCTCTGCCACACGAGACCTCCATGACACTGCATTTTCATAATCCTCCACTAATTACCTGGAAAACACATGGGGGCAGTGGAGACTGACCATCCAACTTACCATGGTGTAACTCTGCTCGGCGTCCAAGTACTTTTTATACTCATGGTTCAGCTTATCAAAAACGGTGGCTATCACAGGCAGTGTGGCTCTATCTGACTCATTCAACACTACAAAGGACAAAAGGCGTAAGCAGATCAAGCCAACCAAAATCACAGGCACCGCAGGGTGCTGCTGATAATGTAATCCTACAGGTTTGCCAGTGCAAACACTCCCCGCAACGCAACGACACTCAAGGAGCTGCTATGCTTTTGAGAGCTGGTTCCTGACAATCACAACCCTTCTGGTGACTAGAAGAAAACAGCTCTGGTGGGTATCGGTAGAAGGTTCTGGGTGGTTTTTGTTCTTTAGAAGATTCTGGGGTTTTTTCTTCTTCTTGAGGGGATCCTCATTACGTAGTCCAGGCAACTCTCAAATTTGTGGCTTCTGCCTCCCAAGCAGTTGGATATGGGCACGCATCACCTTTCCTGACTAGTGTAAGTTTTACAGTAGCAAAACTTGGTGTCCTGATTTCTCAAAGCTAGCAGTGGTAGCCCCTCCACGTGTCCCCAGAAGACTGCTTTCACCTGGAACACTGACTTACTGGGCTTTTTGACCAGTCCCGCAAGCTGCACTTGTGTTTCACAGCCTTTCCAGGGGATGAAGGCACCCGCCCTTCGCACAGACAGAAGTAAATGCACGGCCACCTCCCAATGCCAGAGGCCGGTGGCACAGCTCTAAGAAGGCACCAGCCCCGAGGGGAAGGACTTACTCTGCGAACATACAGACAGGATGACCATCTTGCACTCCTTCCTCTGGATGAGAAAATCCATCAGCCTTCCTTTGTCTGACAAGAGGTTTACTATGGGCTGAAGCTTCACCTGTAGGTTCCAGAGGTAGCCTGGAGTTACAAGAAACATCTTTTAACACCGGTGTAAAAGAAAGCAACAGCCCAACAAGCGTGTCACCTGAACATTCACTGTGCTCGGGTGCTGAAACCCCGCAGAGGGTTCGCTTCTCCCACCCCTCAATATGGCTGGCACACAGCTGCAAAAAACAGACAGAGGGTATTCTCCAGTCGAGGAGCTCTGGGATGACCGATGTTCTCTGCGGAACAAAGGGCCACAGGCAACACAGCCGGCTCCACAGAGCTCAGTGAACAGGATTGAAGGAAAGGTCAGGGAAAGACTGAGGGAAGGCAAGGGGCATCGGTTCTCAGGAGAGCCCAGCCTGGTGGTCTCCCACACGGGTGCTGCAGGGGCGCTCAACAGCCCATTCTTCCTAAGCAGCATGGAGCTGGGACATCCAGCAGGGCCTCTGACAATAGGAATGACAGCCACATTCCCTCTGCGCTTGGCTGACTGCTTACAAGAGGCCGCCAGCACTTAGCAGAGGCCTGCAGGAGGCACAGCACAGGGGAGCCTCCCAGATGGAGGGCATAGGCCCTTAGGCTTAGCAGAGCCTGCGCAGCCCTGTCCCCAGCCCTTTCTGTCTCATGCAGATGAAGACTGTAGTACCCAGCGCCACAGTGCCCAGAGCTCTGGTATCTGCACTGGCTCACTGTCCAGCAGGTAACCCTGGGCTCTCCACGCAACCCCACCATCTTTCCACTCATTAACCTGAGATGCACAGGCTCTGCCAGCACCAGGCAGACAGGCCAGCATGGCCTTTCTCACTAGGGCTTCCCCAGAAGAAGGAAGTGACCCGAGGTCGTCCCGCAGGCACAAAGCCCAGGCGTGAGCACTAGCTCCACAAGACAGGGAGTACACAGCTGGCTACAGACTGGCGCAGGTTTGCTTGTGGTAAAAACCACAAGGTTGTGACAAGGCCCTGTTGGAGGGCTTCAGCAACAAGGTGACAAAGGTGAGCTGGCCTCCTAGCACACAGGGAAGTGAGCACAGGGACACATGGCAGTGCCAATGGGGAACAGGAATGGGACTCCAAGTTGGAGTCTGGCTTTTCCGAATGGGCTCAGAGCGGGGGACAGGCTGTATGCTCCTGAATTGTAAACAAAGGAGGGTGCAGGAGAGGGCAGTGGGGAAGGGGACCGCCACCATCCCCAGGTGGGAGGAAGCACTCGTGGGTGATCAGCAAGCCCGTTTCTCTGTGTCACAACCGACCCCATACCTTGGCTTGCGCTAATGATGATGTCAGGCTGGAAGACAATCCACGACGAGGAGTCCACGGGTTATAGGAAAGCACACATGGAAGAGAAGCAGCAAGCACTCGCCCACCCGCATGCGAGGCCGCTCAATGAGCCCGGGAAGGGCAGCAAAACCAGCAGCTCTCACGGCCCCAACAAGGGCCATGGCCCGGTGGCAGGGAGACAGGACCTCAGGCCAACGTGTGAGGGGGGTGGCCACTTTCCTCTGGGCTCTGTGCCAAGGCCTTTCTAAAGGATACAGAGTTTACAGGGGACTGGAGACTGGCTGGTCACTGCAGCAGGACCTACAGTAAGAAAACAAGTGTGACTGTGACCCTACAGCTGGGAACAGGACACCATGCTTTACTAAAGACGCAGAGGCCTCTCTGCTGGCTGGCATCAGCGACAGGCAGAAGGACAATGCGAATGGTGCTGTTCCACTGGTACCACACGGGGACAAACCGTGTAGCTTCAGTCACGGAGAACCAAAGACTCAACGCATCTTCCTGCCACAGTGTGGAGACCAGCCTGTGAGCCAGAACACGCACAGGCGCTGAGAATGTTCCCAACAAAGCGGCCTGTGGCGTAACCACCTAAATAATGAGCTGGATTACCATGCACAGAGGCGGCCCAGGCCGAGGCCCATGCTGGGGACCCGGGCCAACCAGGTGCACTGCTCGTGCGTCCCGCAAGCTCAGCAGGGTCACTGGGGGGCATTGGGAACACATGCTCCCAAATACACACAGCCAAACAGCCAGATGGACACCTCATAAATGGCACAAGACACATGCTAAACCCCCCCCCCCGCAGCTGCATATGAGCCCTCTGGGAAAAGCCCTTCAAGTGTTTAAAGCGCTCAGTGATCTTCCCGCTTTGGCCTCCCAGAATACTGGGATTAGACGTATGTACCACAACTGGTAGCCAGACCACTACTGAGAGCAGCTTGGCACTGCTTTACTATGACAAGGCAATTAACCCCAACTGCCTGGTACTGTGGTAGTGGGACCAACTGGTTTCTTGTTGTT